AATAATAATAATAATAATAATAATAATAATAATGAATAAAGACTTAAAAAATAATTTAAAAACATGGAGGCAAGAGTCTAAACAGAACTGAACCAAAGATTGTTGAAATGACAGCACAAGAATACATGCGCAGTGTTATGACTACACAATATTGTAATCATTGCACGACAAATACTATCAGCAACAAAGTCCTAAACGATACCCAATTTTCCACTAAAATGACGATTTTCGTAAAAAAATGTCAGTGATAGAAAACAAGTGAGAGAAAACTGCAATAAATTTAAACAACTAGGTACTACTGTTATAGGAACGGTTTCCCTCAAGTAAATAACTGAGTGAATGTCGAAAATCCTATGGACAAGCAATGACGTATGAACGACCAAAATGGATGATCAGCAGAATCTTTTTTTAACTGAGTAGTACGAAGGCAACGAAGTACTGAAAAACAAATGACTTTCGCAGTAGTCAATACAGGCCTCCACTGTTTCAGTTTTTATACCACATAACGTAGGATGATCATACTCAAAGTTGCATATAAACTGTATTGGGAAGATAAACAACAGCAGAGTGAAGCTCAGAATGTTAGCGAGCAGTAGCAAAAAAAAAGAAGGAATAATGAGAAGACGCTAATGTCAAAGGTCCCTAGCTCACCTTATTTTAAAGAAGCCATATTTAAAAAGACTTTGACCAAAAACTCAAGTGGGCATATGCTACAGAAACTGTTTTAGATTTCCAACAGCGACCAGTGCTCAAAGAAGGCTATCGTTTTGTGACTGACCTGGTCGGCCACTTGTGTGTACACTTTACTCAGTACTGCTAAGAAACACTGGAGTGTTGCCGATGTCGTATTTCAAATTATTTATTTTTGGAAAATTGTCAAATTTTTCCCCGCCATATATTTCGTTTGTGTTGTTTTCCAGCATTTGACAGCAATGCTTAAAGGTATTACAAAATAGAAAAAAAATTTAACGCTGCATCAAATAACTTAAATATTGATGTTCATGTTTTTAAAAAGCTGGTTAATGTTCCAATTTGGCGCGATTCTTCACAATTTTGTCTGGTGGTTTCGCGCATATGTTAACCAAAAAACTTCCTTCACTAATTATTTTTTGTTCCACTGTTCGTTTGTTACACTTCTTTTGCTTATTGTCTTCTTTTTTTTTTTAGTTTGTTTGTTTGCAGGAACATCAAGAAGTAATAAGTAGAATCCAAAATGCGGTAAATATTTATAGTTTTTCATTTTTTTTATCACCTTTTTTTGCTGGAATTTCGTAGTTCTTGTTGCTTATATGCATACAACATTTCTGATTACACTTACGAGAACACTTCTTTTACTTTATTCCGTCATAGCATTCGTATTTCTTCTCATTTTCTCTGTTTCTTTCGTTTTTTTCTCTTCTTTCTCACTTTTGTAAAGATGAAAAAAAATTTTTTTTTGGTGTGAATATTTTGCGGTAAATTTCTCCGTCTTTAATGTTCAGAAAATTAAAAAGTTTGTAGCTATAAAATTAAATGATTTTTTTTTTTTATTATTTGTAATATTGTTGTACAGAATATGAGACATGGTGCTAATTTTCAGTGATTTTTGTTGATTATGGAATGTTAAAAGCGTTGCCGGATTTCTTTACGTTTTTTTTATTTTTGTTGTTATTTTCATTATTGTTGATTGTATTTCCTGTAGAAAAAAAAGTGATAATTACCTTTTGTTGCCGCAATAGATATATCAAGCGAGAAATTCTTTAGCGTCTATTTTAGCGTGTTGAAGACGTTGATGCTTATTTTATTTGGGAATTTCACTTTTTTTTGTGATGTTTTTTGACCAATTAAAAACTTGGTTCCGACATTTGCTTCGAGAATTTTGGAATTTTTGTGGGTTGCCTATAGTCTCGTGGTGAAAGCACGCTCTAATGTGTTAATATATTGTGTAAATTGAAAAGTAAGGCTTATTTAATTGTAAGATTTTATTAGCCTTTTAATTTTACAACACTACCCTTTTATAACACTAATAATTTTTGTCAGTTATTAGGGCGAGGAATAATTTACGATGTTTGTTACTGGCATAATACTTTTTTAACTTTTTAGAAAGATTTTTGTTTTTAGAAAGGAGAGAGAATGGCAACGCGAAGTTCAAGACGCTCATCTGGAAGGGACACGTTCAACCCAGCCATGATACACCTTCTAGACGCAGACAGGTTGCGGAAGGAGTTAGAAAATAGAGGGTTAGACACCAGTGGTAACCGTACAGTTTTAGCTGATCGTTTACAGGTTTGTTATAAATCAAGACTTTTCATTTAAGGAATTCACTTTTTTTTGAGCCATCCTTATCATTTTTTACTTACAATTTCGATTTAAGAGTTATCGCACTTTAAAATCGAAATCGTTGGAAAGCTTTTGAGCAGTTTGCTTTGATTTTTTTATTTTTCATGGTAACGCGTTTCAGTTTTATTTGCAATCATTTGTGGTCTTGAATTGGAAGCTACAAAGTCTTTTTCAGGAAGCAGTTGACAAAGAGAAGTCATCACGGCATAGTTATTCTCCTCCACCTGTTGTAGAAAAGCCTCAGAATAAAAGAGTTGGGAAACGTGCTTCCAAGGTTGGAAAAGCAAACAACTTTAGTAGTTCATCTCATGCTTTATAATTTCGGCCTTTTTGGGCAGGGCTAACCTGTCTTTGTAGACCAAGTCGATTATGACGCCTAAGGTTTTTAAGACGGAGACGAAAGTCAACGGTCAAGATGAGTCCACTTTGGGCCCGAGAAGCTCAAAAAGGAAGCGGGTATCGACGTCCGTCGAGCCGGTTGAAGTAATTGAAGAGTCGTTCTCAATTCAGATATCGGTTTGACTTAATCTAGTTTTATTGCATCGAGTTTGCCTTGTTTTTTTTTTTTCTAATGTTTGTGCACCTTCAGGACGACGCCGACTGTTCCATAAATGCGAACAAAAATGTTGAAGATAATTTAGAAAATGTTCCTTTGCCAAATGAGGAAGCTTCTTCTGGGATAAATTTTGAATCCAATGCAGAGCCCCTCAAATTAACCTTAAAGAAGCCATTGAAAAAAAGTGCCATGGGGAAGGTGTCTTTAATAAATTTCAGTTAGAATTTTTTTTTTTTTGTGTGTGTGTATGTGTGTGAAATATCGCAATTAACTGATTTTTTTTGCATGAACTTTACTCGGTTTTCAAGGACAAGACTATATCTTTTAGGTGCATAAAAGATCTGATCCCGGTTTCTTTGAAGATTTGGAAAAAAAAGAACGCGAACTACAACTTTCATTCTCCGCCGAAAAACCGTTTGGCATAAAAATAAAGAAAATTGAAATACCATCAAGTGAAATGAGGAAGGAGCCACTTGCCAAGGGTTCCTTTGATGGCGGAGCGGCCAAGAAAAAAGAGAAGCTCAGTGAAACCGGAATAGAGAGGACCAGTAGCGAAAAATCCTTCAGTGCGAAAGATCCTGCGATAGAGATCATTGGAGACACTACTAGCAAACGTTATGTTAAGGTTGATGCAGAAGATGGCCATGATAAAAATTGTAACAAGGAGGATTTCAAACAAAGTAAAGGCCTGAAACTGAAACTAAAGTTAGAACATGATAAGGAACCACATCCCGGCACGAGTCATGAAAGGAAAGAACGGAAGGTTTCAGAAGCTAACTCTCGGAAAAGCAGTGATAACAGTGTGGACGCGGTTGCTGTTAAAATTTATTTATTTATTTTTTTTTTTGTGTTGTTCTAAATAACTGGGCAATAACGCGTTGAATTTTTAAAATGAGTAATTACTATAAGCAACTGTTTTTGTAGCTTTTTTAGGATGTGATGAGGAAGAAGATAACTAAGCAAGGAAGCGTTGAAAGGAGTAAAGATCCAGTGAATTTGAATGAAAATGAAAAAAGATCTGAAGTAGACAAAAAGAAGGATACTGTAGTGCGGAAGAAAATTCCTTTAAGAATGCAGGCTGTGGATGTATTTGATACGATCTTTGACAAACAGGTTATGAGACTGTAATTTTTTTTTGGTTTTTAACCATTTTTTGATTGGCTCAAAATTGCAAGTATTTTTTTAATTTTATAGTGAAATTTTAGACCGAATTATTATCCAGCAAGTTTAAAAGTGAAGAAGAGAGAGCGGCTGAAAGGCAGAAAATTGAGTTAGCAAAAAGAAGGCAAGTTTCCTCGCAACTCCCGATAGTTACACTCTCGTCAGCGCAAATGGAGAAAAAGAGGCACACTGTAGAATTTAATTTGTCGCCCCAAGTATTTCCTAGCCGAACTCGTCTACCTCCGCCTCCTCCACCTCCATTACCGTCTCGATGCGAAACATCATTTGACGCACATAGGGCTGTACCGTTACAGCGTAAAATGACCCCTCCTCCGCCTTCTCTCCCTAAACGTAGAAGTTAGTTCTCATTTTCTTCCAGGCTTTGTCCAGAAGTGTTTTTTTTTTAGCGGATAAATCCAATGTTCGCATTTTTTGTTTGTTTCAGGTATTTCTTTCGATGAAAAGCCCTTATCTGTTATTTTACCAGCGCCACCACCGCCCCCAGTACTTTTGCCTCCATTGCCTCCTCCTCCTCCTCCTCCGCTTCCCGAAGTTCTCTCCCTTCCGGTTGCTTCTGATGAATATAGCAACTCTTCATCAAAGCATCAAACTCCAACATCAGTTTCTGTTCATAATAGTCCATCCCAACCAACGACTTCGACAGCGGCTCCTGAAGTTGAAGACAGTGTCACTCTTCGCTCAAACTTTTCTTCACCAGTAGCTTCAAAATCAGATTGCTCAATGCATCATAATACTGCTAGGGAAATAAGTCACTCACCTTTACCTTCATGTTCGGAAGCTGAACCAACCACTTCATTGCAGACGTTGCAGGAGAATCAGAATTTAGACCTCCCTCAAGAGGGACATGCTGACTTACCTTTGCAACAGATAGCTAAAGCATTGTGTTCAGTTTTCGCTCATATTGGAAGTAAAAGTCAAGAACTGGGAAGCTGTTCGGATACAAATGAGACTTTGAGCAAATTGCCTGAAACCGCTTCTGATCCTGAGGTTTCTGTAGAAACTGTAGATGTTATTGATGCTGAGAAATCGAAGGAGGAGAGTTTGCATGTTGAGGTCGTAGAAGTGGGTACAGCTACAGCTGCTGAAATTGAAAACTTACTAGATAATGTTATTGCTGAAGTTGAAAAGAACATTGAACAAGAATCTTTAAGTAGTGCTTCGACGGAGGATGAAACAGGTTGGGATTTTTTGAGGTTTAATGGTTCTGCGCAAGAGGACATTTAGTGGTCATTAGATCTTATACTTTAAATAACTTTCAGTTGAAATTATCGTAACTGAAAACTCTGCTGAAGGGATGGCTGGTTTACCTGGCACGACTAGAATCACGGGGGATTCTATAAAGGAGGT